AGCGGTTCAGTTACTCACATGGTTGTTAAGTGAATCGGGCTCCCTCCCATTGGCTTTATTTATCAGAAGGTCGTAAAAGAGGATCACGGGATCCCCCCCTGGGGACACCGCAACTGTCATGAATACATGCCAGTGGCCCAGCGTCCAGATTTTGATCACGTGACCGTGGAGGTTCTGCAACGGTCGCTAAGTGTGAAAAACGGTCCTAGGTCCCTTTTTTTCAGAGCTTTCGTAACTTCCAACGGTCACTAAACGGACTGTCGTAAGTCGAGAACTACCTGTACGAACCAGAAAGAAAAATTAATGCAAAAAAGAAAAGCAGAAAAGAAAAAAGAATATATTTTATTTATTTACCGAATTGAGAAAGACTACCCAGGAAGAGAAGAGAGAAACGTAACAAACTGACTTCTCCCTTCATCGCAAGTATAAACAATTGCGACAACTTCTCTTCAAATACAACAAATGATTTCTTCTTCTTCTATATCCTATCTCTTTTTTTGCAAAGTCAATCTTTACAGCCTGGTCATTTCAATCCCACTGCCAGCAAAAGTCCATTAAGGCAGGGGTCCCCAATCCCCGTGTTTGTGGACCGGTACCGGGCTGCGGCACGCCAGCAACCGGTCCGCACAAACAAGCAAAGCCCCATCCGCAGGATGCAGGCAGCACACAAGCGCGCACACATTCTGGTCCGTGGAAGAACTGTTCTCCACGGAACCGGTCCCTGGTACTCAAAAGGTTGGGGACCTCTGCATTAAAGCTCAGCACGTGATAAAAACCTATCTATTTTAACCTGGGTCAAATAAACCCACTCTATATTCCTTTCTTGCACTTCTAACCATTTGGATTTCCGGTACCTTCCGGCGATACCCCTTCTCTTCAACTCTTCGGTTGAGGGTAAGCAAGCTTCTCGTGGGAAGGCTATCCCTTGTAATGATCTACTCCTGGGGCAGAGTTTGTAATTAATACCCCACTGAAGCGAAACAACAATATGGAAATTGAGATTCCAAAGTGAGCTGTGGGCATAAATTGTGCTGAGGCGCTGAAAATCATTCCCGACGGAGGAGCGATTAAGGGAATGGGGAAAGAAGATGCTTTAAAAGATAATGGCTCTCTTCCTTTGGAAGTCTTCAGGCAGAAACTGGATTGACACCTGTCAGGGATGGCGTAGGAGTTAATTGCCTTCATTAAGCAGTGATGCTGCCTCGGGAATTCTGGGAGTTGAAGTCCACACGCCTTAAAAGTTGCCAAGGTTGAGAAGCACTGGAATTTAATAATACGGTAATAATAATAATAATAATAATAATAATAATAATAATAATAATAATAATAATAATAATAATAATAATAATAATAATAATAATAAAGTTGGAAGGGACCTAAGAGGTCATCTAGTCCAACCCCCTGCTCAGGCAGGAGACCCTATACCATTTCGGACAAATGGCTGCCCAGTCTCTTCTTAAAAACTTCCAGTGTTGGAGAATTCAACGCTTCTGGAAGCAAGGAGTTCCACTGGTTAATTACGCCTCGTTTTACGACTGGAATTGAGGCTAGAATTGCAGTCATAAGTCATAGTGCTCTTTAAGTGGATCACCAGGCGACTATGCCCATTTTATGATCCTTTTTGCAAGGGTGGTTAAGCAAATCCATTTTACTTAAATGGGTATATTTTTTGCTGGAAACATGAAAAATTGTGTGGCCACATGACCACAGGACACCACAAAGGGATGTGAGCTGGTTGCCAAGGTCCCAAAATGTGATTGTGTGATCACACGGGGGGGGGGGGAGGCGGCCCTCCAGAACAGGGTTGTAAGTAGCTCTGGTGAAGTCCGTCATAACTTTGAATGGTCGCTAAATGACCCCTCATTAAGCAAGGACCATCTGTAATTGTCACGAGGCCTAATACTTGAATGGAGCTTCCATGTTCAAAAGCAGTTTACCTCTCTGTTTCTGAAGCTAGGAGTAAGCAACACCTGGATCCATCATCCTGGGAGGTTTTTTTTAGAGGCAATTGACTAGTCCAGTGGTAGGCAACCTTGGCTCTTTTATGACTCGTGGACTTCAACTCCCAGAATTCCTGAGCCAGCATGGCTCAGCTTGGAAACCTCTCCCTTTCCCCTCAGCATGGCTGGCTCAGGAATTCTGGGAGTTGAAGTCCGTGAGTCATGAGGGGGCCATAGTT